TTTTGTTAGAAGAGAAAAAGTATTTCTCTCCCCTAAGACCACTTTGGTATGAAAAATAAGGTGCATTATTTTGTTATCTCAACTGTTGTATAAATGGGTTGTCGTTACTAGCAAGAAGAAGAAAAATGAAAATTTTCCTTTCCTTGCTCTTAGATTACATATCTCTCTTTGATTGTTCAAGCTCTTCCTCATAACATGAATCAAAATTCTAAAGATTCATCTAAACAATCAAGTGGAAACATACCTGTCAAAGAAATTAAGGTTCATAATGATAATAGAAATATGTTAGATTCTTAGTTAAACAATGCCATGAAAGTTGGACATGTTAGGAAATAACATCACCATTATTGAACCTTCTGGTGGAACATTTGATAATAATAAGATAATGATCAAAAATCGGAATCTGAGAAAGAAGATATAAGTTGTTGTTGCAAAGCTAATGTAATCCAGTGATTCTAGTGATTCTAAGCTAGATGAGGAAAACTTGCATTGGCTTTTAGTCTAAAAAGTTGTAGTATGAAGCCTTCTTCTTCTAGTAATTTATGCAACTCCTGCTCGTTGGTAGCAAATTCCTTGGACTTGGAACCCACCTTTTAATTTTTTTTCTCTACATGATCACCTTATTTGCTTAAAGTTCTCAATTAGAGTCTCACCTTTGGCTAGATATCATTTGTACTTGGAGAACTTCGCCTTATGCTCCTTATTTGCCTTGTCGCGCTCCTCCCTATAATGCTCTCCATAAGGAGGACCCTTAGTAAATAGATCTGCTTGAGGTTAGAAATCTTCGGGGAAGGATGATTGGAGATTACCTTGTAGTGAATTGGGAAGTATTCAAGGATGGATAATTCCTTCAAGGCTACCATGGGAGTTGCTCTGGCTTTCCCATTAAGTTTTCTGCCTGGCGAGGCACTCCCTCATCTCCTTGAGAAAAATATTGGACATCTTCCCTGTTACAAAGATGAAGAGAAATGATTAGTACAAGTTATATCAACAATAATAAAGAGCAATAAAATTTAATCTCACTTATATATTTTTCCAAGGACTCCTCATTTCCATTATCAGTATGGCGGTCATAGTTGTACCCATTGAGACATCTAGGCGAGAGGAAACCTGGTCCAAAACTATTTCTTGTTTTTCACTTGAAGAAGAAAAAGTATGTTGTTTGGAGGAGGGAGGCTATGTGGTCGTCAGTGGTATAGGTGGACCCAACTAATCTCACATATTTGGACTCAGGGTCAGAAATGGTCATGATTTCCCCATTTCTAGGGAAAATATATGGAAAAGAGGAGTCATTGTCACTTCTACCACTCTCAGCACTCTCAAAATTAAGAGAACTCTCACAACTTTTAAACATGCATAATTCCACTAATTTACAGCCAACAGTCCCATAGAGACATCTAACATTCCTATAACAATAGTTCTACCTAGCTATATGTTTATTGTGAGTAAAGGGCTCAATCAGATTTCCATCCTCATCTAAATCCAAAATAGTCGTCATAAAGAAAAGGAAATGGAAAAAAGGGAGTACCTGCGTAGAACTTGAGCTTGAGCTTGTAAAGAGGAGGAAGTTATCCAAGGTAGAAGAAACAATCCACTACCGCTAAATAAAAAGTTTGTGAAAAAAAAGGAAAAGGAAAGATCTTGTCTTCTTAAATAATGAGGGAAAGTAGGGGTTATCAAAGTTCTCTAGTTTTCAAATCAAATGTGAAAAGGGTTTCACACGTTTTAACATGTGCCAAAGGGAAAGAGCCAATTGGACGCCCGAAGAGTAAATCATCATTGATGGCATTAAATGTATTACACGCTTTCCCTCCAACAGACACTTTGAGACTTTCTGACTGACTCACGTCGCATAGACGAACACCTATAAAAATGCTTGAGGGAATCTGTAAAGTGTCTCCTAATGGACTCAACTAAAGTCTCGCTTAAGGGACTCTCTTAAGTCTCGCCCATGAGGGTCATTCAAGACCAAAGGATAGAGAGATAAAGCCTTTGCATGGCTCTTCACGAAGATCCAAAGATGAGTCAATGTTTAAAACACTTCAGCCTCTACGAACCCTCGTGCTTGAAGGATTGTGTAGTGGCATAATTTAGAGAAACTTTGGAGGCAAGGTGAGAGGCACATTGTTGGCTCTTCGTTCTTCCTGAGTCGCTCTTGCAATAGTTTTAGCTCCCTCTTTCGGTCCGTGCACCCCTTGTCTGAATGTGTTGCTTGAGTCTCCATGTTTCATGCCTATAACATGCAATCATGCGTAGAGCATCTTGTGGGTTAACAGACGTTGTGTAGGAAGTCATAGGACTTAACCAGACTTTACAGATTTCAAGGAATCAACCACCTACAGTCATTCTAGTTGCTAAACTGTAGGTAGGGGTGGAAATAGGCCAGGAAAACTAACAGGACCTAAGGCATAACCTACACAGACTAAGGCCAAACCAGATTTTTTTTAAGTAGAAAATGCTTAGCCTTTTTTATAAGTCTATTTAGCTCATAAAGTTAGTCAACGGGCCATGTAAAAAGTCTTTTAAATCTATCGGACCAACCTATTTAAGTACACATGAATACATTTATTATTGTTATGTTGTATTATATTTTGAATTTAAATAGGAAAAATAAAAGCATACTGATCGGGAAGATATTATGTAAATAAATGGAAAAACTCTTATGAACAATGTTATAAGTTGTTTTAATATGTTTTTTTAAACAAATAGTATCACAAAATTTATGTTAATAGATAAACTAAAATGAGTCAATGAAAACAAGTGTTTATGCTCGTTGATGTTTTTATTTATTAATCTATTTAACATGAGTTGAATTGCTTATTAACAAATATTCAAATGAAGTAGATTTTCAAATGAAGTAGATTTTTAAGTATGCTAGTACGTCAATCAGGCCTTAAAAAAGACCCCAGACGTAAAAATAAGTCTATGATACGCTACAGATTAAATTTAAATTTAAATTTTTTAGCAGATCAAATTCAAATATAATAAAGTCTATCTCGACTTAGTTTATTCCATCCCCAATATCAATATATATATATTAGTGCACTAAGGACAATCAATAATGATGATGTAAAGACATATTTAAATTGATTGTTATTTATTAAAAGGATAAGAGACAATTTATTTTTAATTTTGCTTTAGAAAAAAATAAAATATTAAAATGAAATAAAATTTAATATTTTTTGTCTATAATTTATACTAATGTATGTTTTTTTTTCTTATAAGTCATGGAGTATGGGAAAGGCCAAGACAATTGTAATGTGTAATTACACTTAACTTTGTCTCATTAGACGCACAAGAATCTACTCCTTTAAGGAAAGCTTTGAGATCAAACGAGAAAACATATTCTAGAATAGAAACCACAAGAGAGTCGTGTGAGAAAAATAGAAAGAAAAGGATAAAAGACATAACTTCAAGAAAGAGTATTGAAATTGATCTGAGTTGAGTCGGTTATGCGATGTGGAAAAATTGCGTATCAAAAATGTCTCGAAAAAGGGACGTGGAGAGTGGAGAAAGAACCCTTTACCCTTCGATGCTTGAGAATCCTCAATTAAGATGGTCCTTCATACGTAAGGTGTACTCCATCATCACATTTCAGTTGCTCCTCACCATTGCTGTTGCCTCCGTCGTTGTTTTTGTTCCTCCTGTTGCGCATTTCTTCGTTAGCTCTACACACGGATTGGTTATTTACATCGTCCTTATCTTTGTACCCTTCATAAGTACGTGTCGTGTTCTTTCATATATTCATATCGTAATAACTCACTAAAGGTTGTCAAGATCGAGATCTTACATAAAATCAAAAGATAATATCGTATAATATCGTAATAAAAATTATAAGATATTACGAAAACAAAAAATAACATTATATATTTGAAAATGGCCTCTATCAAACCGGAAAACGGTCCATCACCGGCAGAATTCGCCAAGATTGCATATAATCTAATTTTACAAATTTTTTTGACAATTTGAGTACAACATACGATTTTATTTAAGATTGAGATTATTTGGGGTGAGTGAGATTGCAAAATTGTAAGATTTTAAAATATAGATCAAGGTCATGACAACCTTGAACTTAGTAGTATTTTAATGTTATTGTATTTGGTAACGCAAGACATATTCTTAATTTTTGTTTCATTTTTGCAGCATTATGTCCGCTTTATTATTACCGACAGAAGCATCCTCTCAATTACTTCCTCCTCCTAATTTTCAATGTCACTTTAGCTTTTCCCATTGGGTTAACATGTGCCTTTGTTAGCGGTAACCGTTCTTAATTATTCATAATCTTGGTGTTTTTATTTGATAATGAATAATGATATAACTTTTTCATTGGATGCAGGGAAAGTAATTCTAGAATCTGTGATATTGACTACTGCGGTTGTGTTCAGTTTAACTCTCTACACATTTTGGGCTGCAAGAAGAGGTCATGATTTCAGTTTTTTAGGGCCGTTCTTGTTTGGTGCTTTGTTGGTTCTAGTGATCTTTGCCTTCATTCAGGTTTTTTTTTTTTCTTTCTTCTGTTTAGTGCTTAATTAATCAACAAATAATACTGATTTTGATATCTATTTTATGTTATTGTTTGTATGTTTAACATTGTGATTCTTTTCTTGCAGATTCTGTTTCCATTGGGAAAGGTTTCACATATGGTCTATGGATGTCTTGCATCTATCATATTCTGTGGCTACATAGTATATGACACAGACAACCTTATCAAGAGGTTCTCCTATGATGACTACATCTGGGCTTCGGTTTCGTTGTATCTTGATATCATCAACCTTTTCCTCTCTTTACTTACTATTTTTAGAGCTACTAATTGAAGATAATTTAATACAGTATCATATACTATGTTCTTATCTTTCAATATATAACTCATATGTATTGAGAGCTAATCAAGTTAATGAATGTCCATTTGAGTAGTTAAGATGATGAAATTGATAAACACATGCATTTAGTACATTGAATTAAATTTTGCAATCAACAATAGCAATAACTAGATGAGAGGTTCAACTGTTGTATTTGTTTTGTCTTTGCCTGACGATGGAGAGAAGTCTAGAAACTCCTTGTGTCCAAATATCATATTCTCGTTGAGTTCTACACTCGAACTCGACAATTCCCCTCGTGTCTGTTTTCAATCCGAAGTAGTGTCGTTTTTCTCCATCTTCTAAAATATCTCTTCCTGGCCATGCTGGTAAGTCCGTGCACACATCTAGAACAACATCTGCATTTTTAATAGAACAAAGTTATTTGGCTTATCTACCTTATGCTAGTGAAAACAAATTAAGTTGTGAAGCTATTGAAAACTTACTCTTGTTCTTTTTTGTAATTTTTCCTGCAACAAGTTTGCTCTTCATTTTTAGTTTTACCTGTCCTGTTCGATGTATGTAAACAGAAACTATTTTCCAATGCAGATCACCTGCGGTTACAACCAAAGTAGAATTTAACTGTTGTTCAAACCAGATATTGAGTTAGTCTTAATCACATCATCTGTAATGGATGATAATGATACCGTTTCGGGTGCGTTTGAGTAATTCACTGCCTTTAGCAAGTAACTCTTGAATGCTGGAACCTGTAAAATTATATGCATTTATAGTTTCTCCACTATCACTGGTGCTGCTGTTGCTGTTGCTTATATTATTCCCTTTTCCATTTATTGTCATGCCGCCTATTCCATTCTCCAGTGGTGTTACTGCAGCAATATTCCATACGTCCTTTAAAGCTCTAGCTTTTAATGTTGCCGCTCCTCGGAGAGCTACATATCAAGGACCATAAACACAGGCATATTAGGTATATTCTAGTATCAAGAATAGTGATGTTATAGTGGTGACTACATTGTAGTATGGAGTGGTTGCTCAATAACAGGTGCTAAAAGGGTTACCTGTGGCAGCTGCAGCAGTAAGAGTAGATATATCATCATGAGAACGGACATTCACGGCTGAGCTGACCACTGAAGCTAGGTGGTCGCGCTCGGCTCCCATTGCTTCAGCAGCCTCCACACATTGTGCAGCAACTAATGTGGTAGCCGAAGCAACAGCCACGTCAGTCTTGGCCATCTTCTCGTCTATGTTTGCCGTCGATGAGGCAGCTGTTGCAGCAGCAATGGCTGCTATAGCAGCAGCAAGAGCAGCCACAGTAATAGTAGCATGCATTTGAGCATTATGTGTTCTGTTTTCTTCTTTCTTCTTTTCTCTTCTCTCTTTCAACCATCTTCCTACAGTTTTAGGTCCTGAAACGGCTGTGCTGTTGCCAATGGCCCCATTTGCTCTTCCACCATTGAACAACGGATGAATGGAATTGTTCGCCCGAAAAAACTGCACACACATTAAGAGGAATAAGCACAAACAGCACGTTAATAATAATAATATAGTACTAACTAACTTAGTTTAGCAATAACGTGTTTTATACCTTAACAACATCGTCAAATTCATCTGAATTTGAAATTGGTGGACTGTCTGTTCCTGTTAAGGCACCATTACCATTCAAAGGCTCACTACTGTGAGATAATCTACCAGATGTTAACGGTGACACTTCCTGTTACATATATAAACAAACAAACAACATTAATCAAGAAAGTGTCCAAAGTTGAGATATGTGTGTTTTTGTTTATAGTATTAGTTAAGAGTAAACACCTCTCTAGCGGAGTGTGACATAATGCGTTCAAGGACAAGCTGTGAAGTAGCAGAGGAAGCGAAAGAAAACTGATTCTTAGACACGTTCGAGAGTTCCTCAGAGATAGAGTAGATACTGGTTTCTTCAGGAGTAGAACCATTTGAAGGCATGCATGATGAAAGAGGAGGTTGAGAATGAGCTGGTGCAATAGCTTTTGTGACTTCAAGAGCTGAGGCACTCCATGACCTTGACAGAAACTCCATAGGAACTCGGGGACTCTCCGGCAGAGGGGTGGTGCGGCCGCCGGTTGGAACAAATTCAGGCTGCAGACAGTTGATTGGTTCCATGTCAGTTAGTGTGAGGTACTAGCTCTTTGTGTAGGGTAGTTTTGAATATTAATATAGAGAGGTGAGAGAAGCATCCATGATGGGGTGTGTAAATATATAGCAGTACTGGTTTTGGCTAAAGCTAACTAAAAGGGCTTAGGAACTGTCAATCAAAATTAACCATGTGCTAAAGAAGTTAGTATTTTTGTCAAAGATGACTTTAAAATCTATTTTCACATTTACACGTGACTGTATTAAAAAGAAAAAGAAACATAGGTAGTGTCATTTTTACTTTTTACCGTGTTATTAAACTCAGACTTAATTATTATTCTATGTATTGTTATGAGTGATTCACATGACAATCTTAGAGGGAGTATTAAGAGTATGATGTAGTATACATGAAGAAAAGAATCTAGTGGAATTCTGCAATTACCCGCATCCCAAATCATATACACACAGACAAGACATAATTATGAACAAAACAAAAAGCTATAATGGGTTGGTGGGACAGACAAATGACTTTTGGCAGGATTAGAGAATGTGATGACTATTGTAGTAGCAGTACTATGTCTGCGATATGTCACCTTGATAAGCTTCATGTGAGTACAGTACTAGTGCTATAGTTAAACGTAGTCAAAATTTAAAGGTTGAACAACTGAAACTAGATCAATAGATAAAATTAAGGATATAAAAAAAAAACTTTCTTTAAAAACGTAAGATATCGTCTGCTCGAAATAGTACAAAGAGATTGATCGACCAATTATTTAGAATCATGTTTTTTTTAATGGCTATCTAATCATAAGTTGATACTAGTATGATTGAATACACCCTAAGGCTTCAACCCTTCTGTATCAGAATCTTCATCATTCACAAACTTTGCACGCCAACTACATATCCTATACATAGGTGGTCACGGTTCATTCATTCATTCCTTGACCAAAAACAATGCTGTTTCAAATTATCCCATTCCAGGACCATTTGAATCCATAATAGACACTGCAATGTCTCTGATAAAAACATCAAAGAAATTGTCAGAGAACATATGAGCAAAGTGATGATATTCCTTCTTGTTATAGGTGTTGGCTATGTCTAGACCCGACATGTTAGGAATGCAAACAAAAGTTTCAGCAGAATTCTTTTTCTACACAACAGTGTTATTGTTGGACACATAGTAGGGTCTTGGCGTGCCTACAGACGTCATCAGCTACTACTTTTTTCAACTTTTAACATAATCTGATCGATACCCTCTTAATAATTCAATGAAAAAAGAGTAAAAGGAGAAGAAAAACCACAGCTTTTGCTTTTGGAATTGGAAGTACTAGTATATAGCTTGTTCTATCCTTGATAACTCTGCTGACTAAAGGCTTGACCTTTATTCCTTTTGCTTGCATCATTCATTCTCTTAATGATAATTATTGGTCCCTTTTTTTTATTTCAAAAATTGAAATTCAAATGTCTTTGTGATGTTTTAGTGAAAAGAGAGGTATTTTGATCTGTTTCCTTACACTAAAATGTCTCATGTTAAATAAAATGTGTCATCACTCATTTAATTCAAGCAAATTTTAAAATATTGTCTTGAAAATTGTACAATCAATTCTTTAAAAGTTTGAATACTAATATTGTTCATAAGGAATAAGGAATAATTTGATTCTTCTTAATCATATATATTTCTATTCATACTATAAATTTGAAAATTTGATATAGAAGGAATAACTTCGTTATTCTTAATTTATATGTATTTTTCATTCTTAAAATATATTAAAAAAATAAAATATGGAATATTTTGTAATCAATCGTGTAAATGGTAATGTTGTTATAAATAAAAGTTAGAATTTGTGATTTGGTATTAGAGTGTAATAAAATAAATGACAAAACACAAGAATTGTCATTTGCTTGATGTAATATGCGCTTTATTTTTTTAATACTTTGCACCATCCTGATTTTAGGTAGAGGTAATGTCTATAATTGTATTTTTTATCAATCACATTTCTTCTACGGTTATTGATATTGAATCTCCTTTCTTTCGTTTATTTATAACTATAGTGATTTACATATTTTTGAATGTCAGTTTTGTGCATTTACCCACCCGCATTCAAAGGACATAAGTTTAGAGCATGATCTCTTTAATGTGCATTCATAAGATATAGTCACTCTCATAAGAATTTTGTGTATTATGATGTTTTTACATGCCGCTTTCACATTTAAAAAGTTGTGATATTTTTTATAATTAATTTATGTATCATCGTCTTTCTCTTTCCATGTGATATTGTTATTCTTCTCAACCGTTCTATTACACTTCGATCTATATAAATTATAAATCAGAAAATGTACATGTTAGAAAACACAAATATCAGGTTTTCACTTTTCTTCATGGTGCTGATTTGTCATGTGATCATATACTTGTTGAACTATGTCGTTTTGGTCGAATATCTCAAGCACATACTAGATATTCACATGACAAGTTTGATTCCTCACATACTTCTTCAAATGGCTCATTCTTTAGCATATTTATTCTTACTTATTACTCACAAGTTGTTAAAGATGCCTGCTGGATAAAAGCAATGAATGAGGAGCTCCAGGCTTTTCAAGAGAACTTCACATGTTGTCTATTGTCCTCTTAATATAAAATCCATAGGCCGCAAATAAGTATATTTTGTAAAATTGAATTTTTATAGTTCCTTGAACTACTTTAAGACTCAATTGATTACCTTAGAAAATAAGCAGGAATGTGGAATTGATTATGATGAGACAATTACACTGATTGCTAATATGATAAATATATGTATTATACTCTTTATAGTTGTTATTAAAGGGTGGCGTCTTCCTTCATGGTGACCTAATTGAATTTGTTTATATGACTATTCCTCAAGGTTCATTCTTTTATTTAAAGGTGTGTGTAAGCTTAAACGCTCATTATACGGTTTGAAACAAACGCCCTAAGCATTGTTTGAGAAATCTCTTTCTACTCAACTTGAGTTCTCCTTTACTCAGAGTCAGTATGATTCATCTATATTTATTAATAGCACAATTGAGGTTATTGTTCAACTTCTTTTGTATGATGATGATGATATGCTTCTATTCAATAACTTAAACAATAGTTATATGTCTCATTTCACATGGAATATTTTGGCAACTTGAATTATTTTGATACTTGGTAGATAAGTTCGATCAATCAACCTCATAGTTGCACTACCACCAATCTTCTGCAGGATCACGGTAAACTAAGCTCTCAATTAATATGTCAAGATATTTTATATCTTGTAGGAAAGGACCCGTCTGTGAAGGTTAGTACAATAATCTCCTATATCGCTACACGATTCAATTACACTTCATCGTACAAGAAAACATGGATTGAATGAACTAAGGCAGTTGAACAAGTATATGGAAATTGGGAAAAATCTTACAGCGAACTTCCTCGATATTTTATATCACTTCAGGAATATGTTCCTAAAACAGTTGTAGTTATGGAGTCACTGCCAGCATATACACATGATTGAACTTGTGTTAACGGATGTAGAATATTCCATCAACTCTTTTGGGCATTTCAACCATGCATTAAAGACTTTGCATTCTACAAACCTATTTCTCAAATCGATGGAATGTGGATGTATGGGAAATACAAGGGGACATTACTAATGGCAGTTGCATAAGACAGAAAAAGTAATATCTTTTCAATTGCCTTTGCTCTAGTTGAAGGTGAGACGGGTGGAGGTTGGGGTTTCTTTCTCAAGAATATTAGAGCACACGTTGCTCCGTAGCCCAGTGTACGATTGATTTCAGACAAACACGCATCTATTAAGAGCACACACAATAATTTTGCTAATGGTTGGAAAAATCCTCCTTCTACGCATGTCTATTGCGTCAGACACATTTCACAATACTTCATGCATGAAATCACAGATATAAATCTTCAGAAAAAGGTTGTGAACGTGGGGTACGCATTAAACCAACCATCCTTCATACACTACCGAAAAAAATAAGATTGTCAAATGTGGAGGCATTAAGGTGGATGGATAACATTCCATTAGAGATGTACACAAGGGCATTTGATGAAGGACACTGATGGGGCCACATGACAACAAATCTTTTGGATTCCATGAACATCGTCTTTAAGGGCACTAGAATCCTACCCATAACTATGTTCGTGAGAGAAACCTATTATAGGTTGAGATCATTGTTTGCTACCAGTGGTAAAAAGTGGATCTCAAAGTTAGAATTTGGGCAATTATTCAGTGAAGCCTGCATGAAATTTATGAAGGAGGAAACTAGGAAAGCTAACACACATCGTGTCATAGGATTTGATTTCCATGATTACAACTTCACTGTCGAGGAGACAAAAGACCACAATAAGGGGTAGCCAATGAGACATTATTGGGTTAAAATACATAAAGGTTGGTGCAATAACATAAAATTTTAAGCCTTTTAGATTCCTTATTCCCATGTCATTGTGACACTTTATAGTGTTTATCAAGACCCATTATTGCATCTATCTAACAGTTACAAGTGTAATGCGGTGGCAGAACCGATTGTTATACTGGTTTTGTGTTTGTATTCGCAAATGTTGCGGTAAGCAAGAGTCGCCAATGAATTTTCTTTTATCCAATAAAGGAAAGGGTGAAAAGAACAGAAAAAGACCTTTCGAGATTTGTTTGAGTAAGGGGGTTAATTATGGAAAGGGAAGGTGTTAGCACCCTTTTCATCTATAGTTATCTACGGGCTCTTAGATGCTTAGCTCATTTTGAAATACCTTGTGTTTTGAAAAGTATTTTTTAAATGCCAATAGTAAGGCAACTTGCTTTATGATAACTCTTGTATCAGTCCTCAAGAGTGTTGATAAAGTGTTTTGAAAATGTTTTTGAAAGGAGTTTTGTGTAAGTGTAAAAAATTTGTTTTGAGGAATAAATCAGTAAAATAAAGTCCTAGTTATAACTATTACATCCAGTAGACATATACAATAATATGAAAATAGAAAATGTAAACACGCGCGAGTTAGGAGAAGACGCCTAAAAATCCTAAGGTAT